ATGTTGTGTACGGCGACGGTTTTTCGCCCAGACAGGATGCAATATGAACAGCCCGAGGTAGCTTCGGTAACCCGAGAAATGCGTATATCGTCTGATGTTGCCTAAGTTGTCGGGAAAATGCTTTCGCAAGTATATTGATATGTTGTTCGCCGAGGCGTCCGCCGCGGATGCAAGAATGACATGCGCTCGGGTTGAACACACACGGTTAGTCCTTGACACGGTATATTTTCTACATGCCCTTTCAGAGGTCGACCTGTTTTTTTTTTTGACAACTGCAACATGCAAAGTGGATTATTGTTACTGTTTCCTCTCCTTTCTCTGCCGGATCGCCCAGGCCGAAGATGGTTTCTGTAGCGACGGAGGACCTCGTTCCCGCACTTCGTGAGCGCTTGTCGGACATGGGGGTTAAAGGGGTGAGCGAAGGAGACAGGGTTCTCACCATTTTCGTACAGAGTGTTTCCGAATCAAATCCCTGTGAAGGTACGCTGCAGGAGACCGAGCGCGCGCAGCGTGTTGTCTTCGGCTATGGAGAAAACTTGTTCGCAACTGACTACCCATTTTTCTGTCCAATGACACAGGCAGACCTGCCAACCGTCACCTCGGGTGCGGAAGGGATCGTTGCTGCTGCGTGCCACGATGATGCCGACACGGTTGTGACAGGTGTGTTACAATAGACCGGGGTACTCAAAACTTTTGAGGATCACCTGTGGCTGCCAGATCCTTTCGGAATTGTACATTCTCCCCGTGAAAACGCGACACTCGACTTGAATGCAATTTTTTGGGGGGAATTCGCAGTACGCATCTGATGAACTGCAGAATGGATGGCGTCCAAAATTCTGCAACAGGCGAGGTTGTTATTTTCGCACAGATGGCAAGCTGCACGACAACTGGTACTCGGTTGCTCCTCTATGTTGGTCGAAACGGTTCTTCCCTTTGTAGTTTGTCGTGGCGTCTTGCCTTGATGCAGTCAGCTCACCTCCGATTTTTCTGCTCCGAAGGTATCGTCGGCTGTGCAGGGCTACTCCCAACAGTCGAGGCTATCAAGAAGAAGAAGACCATTGCGCTGGCGAACAAGGAAACCCTAATTGCCGGCGGACCAGCAGTACTCCCCCTCCTCAAGGAATATGGCGTGGATATGGTTCCTGCTGATTCTGAACACTCCGCAATCTTCCAGTGCCTGCAGGCAAGATGTACTCCATATCGGCGGTACCATGCGCCAGTACTGTAGCTCTGACACCCCCAGCAAAGTTCTTGAGGATTGGGGTCAGGAAGTTGCTGTGAGGGCTTAGGCTTGGGGATAATACGAAAGCAAACACGGGGATGAGTTGACGAGGGGGAGCGTCAAGGACGGAGGTTGGAGTTTCATGGTGATGACATGCCTCCTGTTGTATTCTAGGTCATGTTGCCAGATTTGAATGTCAGTATACGCACTATTGTGTCCCCTGGGGTACGTCATATCCTTATTGATGAAAAATGATCACGTTTTTATTTTTTGAGGCTGCGCAAGGTTCCTCACCGTCCCCTTCGTCCCCGGGGCTCCGCGATGGTGTTTTGTTCCCCACCCATATATCTTTTTTGTCAGGCTAAACTGCTAGATAAAAAACCACGGGCGTTGCCCCCGCCGGCTGCTGTAAAATCTCAAATACCCTCTGGCGCTTAGCCCCAGGAGACACAAACATCTCCATCTTGTATTGTTGGAGAAATGATACCAGCTTGGGCAACCCCGTCGATATAAAATGTAGCGCGAGATCGAGCTGTTTGAAGTTTTGCGATATGAGCACAATCTTCCCGCCGATATTTTCGGTGAACCAGCGCAACAGGTGTGCTGCCGTTGCCCACAGCTACAGCTCGCCACAAGCAACCACACTGCTCGAAACCGCCAAAGCATCACCGATATGGTGTATAAGTGGCGTCGCATGACTAGACAGCAGCAGCAGACAACCAGAAGCGACCCTAAGCGACCTTCTAATAAACTTAATAATTTTAAAGAAGAATCCTTTGATTTAAAACCAGATCTACAAAAGCTTTTAAAAGCTTTATAGGGGTGACCTGTGACCTGTATGAAGTTGCATGCAGCAGTCCGAAAGTTGGCGAAAATGACGGGGCTTCTTGGTCCTTTGACTGGCCGCCGCCGTTCTCCACGTGTGTATGCCCGGTCAACGAACGGCTTGAATACGAATGTAGCTGGTTCAGCGGGTGTTCTCAAGCTGTTCAAACATGTAAAAGCTTTAGATTTGGCACATTTCAACTTTTGCGGTCTTCGTCTCCCCCGTAAAAATATGCTTTGTGCACATCCCTTACTCCAAATTCAAGTTGTCTCGTTTGGTTCTGCGAAACGCTATCCCCTTTTCACAACGCCTTTTTGGTGAGCATCCTTGCATAGCCTTACGCGTTCGTTTATTCGTTCATTCCCTCCTCGGTTGCCTGTGCCAGGGATTCCCACCAGGCGCACTTCGTCGGATTATCTTGACAGCTTCTGGGGGTGCTTTCCGTGACTGGCCGGCGGCGGACTTGGCGAAGGTGAGCATAGAGCGTTTCCGGTATGTTTGGGCTGGTGTTGCAGGGTGGAAACATCTGTGAAGAACATCTGTGAAGAAGAGCAGAGAAAGAGAGAATTTGCTCGGGTTTTTCACCCCTCTTGTGGCTTTTCTCATTCTTCCGATGCGAGAAACGCAACACTTCGCATGGACCTTTTGGTGCTGGAATGGCTAGCTTCAGATTTATGCTTGCATCATGCGTTTTCAATGTGCACATGTCTTGCAACAACCTGCATTTTGCCTACGAATGAGGTGCGTACACTTTTGCCCACACCGCAGGTGACTGTAGCTGATGCGCTAACGCACCCAAACTGGGACATGGGTGCAAAGATTACCGTGGACAGTGCCACGATGATGAACAAGGGGCTTGAGGTAATCGAAGCTCACTATCTCTTTGGCGCGGACTACGATGATATTGACATCGTCGTGCATCCCGAGAGCATCATCCATTCCATGGTGAGCCTACTGTAGGTAGGGTATGAGTTGGACCACAATATCCTGTCGGTGGGGCATACGACTGCCGTTATTGCATGCATAGACTGATGGTGTTCGTAGCCCTAATCTGCGGTGGCTGTTCATGAATCATTCACCCGAGAGTGCTTCCCGTACATGACCCGCTGCTCTCACCCATTTCGTCACGCTCGATAAATTCCACGTACTCTCGGCCTTATCTGACCATTCGAATGCGAATCGTGTCGAAATTTGCGCCAAACGCTTCCAATGCAGGTCGAGGCTCAGGATACAAGCGTTATTGGGCAGTTGGGGTGGCCGGACATGCGACTGCCATTGCTCTATTCGCTCTCCTGGCCGCATCGAGTACGTATGCCATATGACAAGCTGGACCTGGCAAAGCTGTGTGAGTTTATTTTTCCTTGCATGATGTACTCCAGATGTATTTTGTTTGATTGATCATCTCGGCTACTGCCAAGATTCGAGGATTGCTCTCCAAGACACTCTTTCCGGCTTTGCTTCTTTGGTGTTTGGTTCTGCTCTGTGTTAGTGGCAACTCCTTTTTGTATAGTGGTGGACTGAGCAAAATGAGGCAGCGAATGTACGGTGCCTACCTCTGAAGCGTGCGGTCTGCTAGTCTGTACGGAAAAATCCCGTAGGCTTGAATTCTCCTGTAGGCATGAACACTTGGTGAAATGGTGAATGAAGTATGCGGGCTCCACCCCGACTGACAGGTGAAGGTGTCATACCCTCTTCTGTCCCGGTATATCCTAATCTTGGCAGCTAAGATGACGTTCAAGGAACCTGACCGTGCCAAGTACCCGTGTATCGACCTGGCCTATGCTGCTGGTCGAGAAGGAGGGAGCATGACTGCTGCGATGAATGCTGCTAACGAGCGGGCAAACGAGATTTTCCGGAAGGAAGTAATTTCTGTAAGTTGTGGCCCTCTATTCTTCCTGTGCACTCGAGCATGTCCGGTCCTCAAGCAATAGTTTTGTGGTTTACGTGCACAAGAAACTTTGTCGATACTTGCTCTTTTATCACGATTATTTCTCGATGGCAGGAGCGCGCGTTGTCCCCTCCCGAATATTTGATCGGGCTTCCATCGAGTACTGGCGTGTCTCACTGACCCTGTTTCTCCCACTTCGATGAAATTTCCTAGTTCGTGGATATTCCACGAGTGATCGAGATTGTAATGGAAGCTCACAAGGCAGACGTCATGGCAACACCGTCCATCGAAGACATTGTCAACGTGAGTCGGGGCGTCGATGGTCCGCACCATACAGTGGTTCGATAGCGATTCGTATGGATGGGTGTTCCGCAGTGGCGCGCAAGTCGCCGTTGTGGGTTGGACCAGCGTTTGTGTCAGTGTGACTATTCCATGCAATGCCTTCCCAACTGCAAAATGGTTCGCTCCCCACCGGTGGACATGTTGCAACACCGTTGTTGCGAAGGTTAGGACTTACTGCAACAGTGGGTCATTACGAAACTGTTTGCGAGAACTCCCAAGTTCAAACGGGTGGGTGTTCGTGTGCGATTACTGCCAGGTGGATCTGTGGGCAAGAGGAAAGGTGGACGAAGCCGCTGCACAGCTCAAGGAGCTGGTTGGAGCTTAGACCAAAAGTTGCGTTGATGGATCATGTGGTTTGCGCACTTGATGGAACGTGTGTTTTGCTCGTGCTTCGTTGATCTAGACAAATACATGCAGGGAAAAAAATCCGCGATCTAGTTTTTTCTTGTATGGGTGATATCCATGTATTCTGGGCGTCCATGTTTATACCTTTCGGTATACATGTATGTATTGGACGCACCAGCGGGTGGTTCACACATCCACGCAGAAGGAAGGTGCGTAAGACGTTGTTTTACTCCATCCCTTCGCGGTGCTGCCTTGAATGTGTCATCGTGACAAAAATACCTCCGTCCTTTCCCCTCGGCGACATCAGGTTCGACTTAGCGTTACTCGTTGCGCACACTTCACGGCGAGCACGCACGAGAAAAAAAAAAAACACACACACACACACACACACACACGAACACATTCGCGTGACTGTGCCAAGATCCGAACCCTCGTGTCCAAACTTTGGCAAGTTTGAACTGAAGCACCGAGGTATTGCGAGGTCCGCATATCATTTGTCACCGCATCCTTTCGGCTTCCCAAGCCGTACGTGGTGATTGCGACTACAGTTGAAATGCGAATAATGAATGACTGTTCAAGACACACGCAAACGGCCGCGACAGCGCTCTGTCTGTCTAAGGTCGGGAGTCACCACTCAACTACGTTGAAATCGCAGCGCGACAGCAATTCACAACAAAATGTAGATACCTTTGGCAGGATCGTACGATGTGAGGACTCGGCACCGGAACCACAACGTGCATTGAAACACCTCAACTGACGAAGACACGTATTCAATCCTGTGTGCAATGATGCTCATGACAATACTCTCATTTCCCTAGCCAAGCATATAGAAACGAATACGCGCCACTAATCCAACTTTGCTTTTGGAGATTCGGCTGGACCGTCCGACTCCTCGTCCTTGGATTCGGCGGTGATTTCCTGCAAGGGGAGGCAACAACACAGGTCTCGCGTATCAGATCTGCTGCAGTGAGCATAGGCGGACGGACAGCGCTTCTCGGCATTGCGATTGTGTCATGTCAACAGAAGGCTGCGGATGGACCAAGGATCCAACCAGCACCGTATCTCACGTACAGCGGTTGTGTACGGAAGACGTATTTACTTGACACGCGCAATGATACGTACCTTGGACACCTCCACGTCAGTTTTTGACCCCGACTTGGTGGGCTTGGTAACACTGACGGCGTTGTCCTCGGAAGAAGTGGTTGTGTCTGCTTCCTTTGGCTCATCCTCCTCGTCGTCCTCATCGTCATCGTCGTCCTCTGCCTCCTCCTCCCCCTCAAGTTCCTTCTTGTACTTGGGAGGAAAGCCTCGAGCAGTGTTCACCACGTCGTACCCGTGTTTCATCGCACGATCCCAGTTGTCTTCGTCCTCGAAATACTCTTCCTCCGTCAAGCTAGTTGTGCGGGACCAAAACTGGGCGTTCCACTCCTTCTCCAGGAACTCCCTGGCTTCTTTCTGAGTGAGTCAGACAAGACACCCCCGCAAGTTCATGAGGTGTCAACAAGGTTGTCTCGGTAACTGTTCACTGTCACGGCGAGCACTCTTCCACAACAAATTCTTGAGATACTGATGAACCCTACACGTGTGGTTTTAACAGGGCTTTTGTTCGACTGTCCATCTGAAAATAGGAAAATATATCAGGCTATCAATGCCGGTGGGCAGGCTGGCATGCTTACTTCGACCAGCTTGATGTCATCCTCCTGTCGCTTGATGGCGTTCTGCTCCCTTATCGCGGCGTACTCTGCCTCCCTCTCTTCTTGGAACGCCTTCTCCCGCGCCTCCAGCTCTTCCTTCGACGGTGGAGGCTTATTCTTCTGCAACCATTGGGCACAATTATCGAACAAGGGTACCGCATCCGCAATGTAGACCATGTGAACATGACATGTTGAGAGTAAAGGCGCACGTTCCAAGAAGTGATCAGCCGTGAATGCCATATGTGCGGTCGTGCTCACCTCCGCCTCCTCGGCCTCCTTCATTGCTTGGTACTCTAGAAAGCCGCCGGAAATGAGCGTGCTCATTTCAGTTCGGCGATCAGTTCCATTTTGACGCAACTCCTTGAGGTACGCGAGAGCGATATCATCGCCCTTGCCGAAGGCAAAAGCCTGAGAATGAATTCGGGGGAGTGAAAACACGGGCGAAGTTTATTATTCCAGATCGTGGGGGACACGTGCTTGACCTTGGGCGTGCCAGACGGGGCAAGGGAATATGAATAAACCAAACGTGATCAGTAGAACGAAGCACACGCGCCCGATTGTCACCAACTACATGCGACCGTTCACCAGGAACGGTGGCATTGGTGCATCGTGTAGCATCGTGCGTTGAATGTCGGAAGTATCCAACGAGCCGCACCATGCAAGGGATTGTATACAGTATTCGTTCCCCGCCGTAGCGCGCCAGTGACCGCTAACAGTGTGAAAATTCCTGAAACATGCCGGAAGAGACAGCTTTTGATAGGTCCACCTCGGGGGGCGTGATCATGCATGGAAGACAATCAGGTGTTGTTGGTTTGAAACGCAGTGCACGGGTCACAGGATAACGACATCTCACCGTGTTAGTGGCGTTCTCCATCATGAACGCCTCCGCGCTAAGACGGACAATGTCGTCGCGTACCACTTGCTCCACGGGAAGCTCGTCCGTGACATTCCCCACCGTGACCGACCCGCCCTCCTTACCCTCCACGACCTCGCCGACACGAATGAACGTGTATTCTAGCCCAGAATCCTTCGATGTATGCAACAAATGAGAACCAAGTACGGGCGGGGGCCGAAGGGGGGGGGGGG